ATCTTTAATCCCACGAACTATCGAATGTTGTGTGGGATCAAGGCTTTGGATCCTTCAAGGGGTGCCTTTAGCACATAAGTATACCGAGGTAAACAATGCAATCAAGACTTTTGGTGGGAAGTTGAAGACCAAAATGGGTAAATGAATCGAATCAGTTTAAAAAAAGTTTCTTTCTTTCAATATACATGTAGTACACCCCTAATAAACATGATGCAATCAATCAAATGCTATGCCATCCCACCTGTCCCACCTGTCCCCCCCCCGTTGCGCAACGGTAACGCAACGGGCAGCGCGGTTGCTGACTGCGCTGCCCATTATGGCTTGAAATCTGTGAGGTTGCGCTGCTCCGCAACCCCCCGTTGCTGTTATGCAGCGCAGCGGCTCGGCGTTGCTGGGAGCTGTGGATCTACAGGTTATGAGCTGTATATTACCAGAAGGAATTAAAGACAAATCATTTGAAACAGCAAATTCCAGATCAATAATTAATCATGATACTACCTTGCAAATAGAAGAACTGTTTAAATATGACATCACTGACCAATCCACACTGCCATCCCACATGGAGGGTATTCATTTCATGGTACCTGTTGCCCAGACTGACCAATTGACCCACAACAACCAAACAGCTCCTCCTCCCTCAAATGTGGAACAAAATATGAATGTTCAAAAAAATCAGCAAAATTTTGTGCAACAATCAAATGGATCAAATGTCACTAATTTCTTCCAAACCACACCCATTGTCACAAAGTAAACTTCATTTGCATCATTATGGAAGCTGTGTCCCATCAAACTAGACCAATTAGCTACCTTGGCACTGAATGCCTCAAAGTTTGAAATCTGGGACACTGATTTTTGTTGACTACTTCACCATTTCCCTGGTTGTGCTCCCTATTTGCAACCAGGTGTGATGCCCACTCCCACACCTTCAAACCTGTTCTCAGAGCCACTCCTCAAGCTTTAATCAGTTTGTCTGATATGAATTGGGATTTGGGAGCTGAAAATGTCTCATTTTATAAGTCTGGTTCAATTGGTTTAGGTGAAGGCATGTTGACTGTTTTCAAAAAGAAAGTTAACCAAAGCTTAAATGTCTCTGTTGCAAGAAGAGAGGACACAAGGAGGATGTGTGCCGGTCAAAGAAGGAGAAGGAGAGATCTTCCTCAGCTGATTCAACATCACATACTCACATTGTGGAACCACAATTTTCCAATATTAATCTCACTAGGTGCGTGGACATCAGACACATTGTAGTTCCTCAACTAGATCATCAACCCTTCCATCATTATTTTTGATACCGGCGCAACACATCATGTTTTTAACAAACGTTCTCATTGCATTCATATATATGATACCAATCCTTTACCAGTTAAGATGTCGAATAATAATTCTTAATATTCTATTACCGCTGTTGGATCTGTCCGTATATGCAATGTAGCAAGCTCTAACGAGTTTTTGAACTTCAATAATGTTTATTTATGTGAGAATCTGTGTCATAATCTTTTTTCTGTTGACCATCCAAGTCTCTTCAATGGTGAGAGATGGTTCAAGAAGTAGAAGGTCTGGAACTTGGTTCATTTTGTCAAAATTTACTTTTGCCACAACACTTGCGTCGAAACTGCCATATCCGCCTACAAAATCAAGCAGAAGAGCCAACACCGCTAGGTGCAGGCGGAGTTGAGACTCCAATTTGTTAAGGCCTGACCCGGAGAGAGTGTTCGAAGGGTTGTGGAGGTTGAGAGCCTGGCTCTCATGCGAGCCAGTACAAATTCCCACATCCCAATCGAGCAAATCAAATGTACCGCATTCGTCGTAACCAAAAGTCATAGACCATATCGGGTCATTCCAGTATGGGCACTTGTATCTACTTGTATATCGGCCACAGAGCCGCCGGCTCCACATCCATACTAATGTTCATCTTATTGTTAACCAATCGAATGCCGCGGTCAAGATGACCGGTTCATCTCGACCGTGCATTGCACTGGCAAGCCGAAAGAGGTCGGCGTACCCAGGACATGGACCACAGTGCGTGTGCCAAAGCAATACCACATCTTTCAATAAAAGCAATTCATTGAGGTCCCAATCGTAGCAAAGCGTAAACCCTTCGCGAACATGCCACCTACCAGATCATACGCTGAGTTTCCTGTTAAACCCGTCAATCCTCATCTGCCATTGCCACTACCAGGTTCAACCAAACAGACCGGGTTGCTTTGCCCATCTTGCATCAAACGTCACTCCACATCATACTTCAAGCCCAGTAGACAATCAAACGAGCCACTAATAGGTGTTTCTGTGAGTGAGAACGTTACTTCATATAGATGGGAGCTGACTTATATGCTTCATACACCTATCAAGTGCCGTGCCGGCAGTTATATCCGATCCTATAGCCTTGCACAAGCAACAGACGCGGTCCTAGCACACAACCTAAGCATACAAGAACGCACATTAAACAACCTCACGACAGCCCAAGAGCGAGCCGATCATCAATTCGCAATGCAAGTATCACGATTGATTAACGGCGATATGCCAGGTGCCAACAACATGGCGCTGAACGAAAATGGATCAAATGGATCAAAGAAGAAGGCGTTACCTTCGAATCTTCAGTGTAACGGACACAACAATCGTTTTGCTACTGGCCATACCAATCGAAGAAATGCAGGATGTGCCATCAAGGCGTGCCGACACGTAGGTCCACTACCTGCAATAAAGTGCCGAATATGTTGATGACACACATTTATTTTCAGTGTTGCGAACAGCTCAAGCCCGCAAACATTAGATGCTCAAAGCATAATGCAATGAAGAAAACCAAACCAACAGTGACAGTGATCAAACAAAATCGCGATGCAGGACCTACGAATTCCGCCGCGCCAAATTCAACACAGCAGCCGCCAGACAATGTTGACACCCCCTCAACAGATCATGATCCGACCCTCACCCAAGGTCCACCACCATCTCAACACCAACGATTAACCCAAGCGAGTCTAACGTTTTCAAGCCCACTAACCGCCGCGCAGGTTACCAGGTTTTGAACAACGACTATCCAGAAGCAGGCACAAGAACGCGAAGATAAGGATCACGCGAGACTCGCCGAGAACACCATAACGTTTGTGGTGTGGGGTGGTTTTGACGATGTGAGTTCAACTTTCATGTTATATCGCACTTAAAATGCTCAAATACTATTACTATTTGGTGTAACAGGAAGACCCCTTGGCCTTTGAAACATGGCGTGTATATGCTCCACGTTGGCCTGACATGTCGCTAAACACGTCAGACACGCTGATGGAGCACGTCCGAAACAAATTTGGTGTCCACTGGAACGGAGACCTTCGTGTATGGATACCTGAAGAAAAAACCTGGGTGAGTCTATCTATATGTACACTTTAATACAAAATACTAATGAATACTAATGGATCTTCTGCAGGTGAAGATGCAAACATCCATAGTAGAGGGGTATAACCCCACTTATTGTCGCATCCTCATTGTTTTCCCTGGTATCAAACTTGCCGATTGTAAGGAACTAGAAGCCAATAAGGAATTAGTTCGTACCATGACATCAATGCAGAAGATGGATATGGTCAAGGTAATCAGTCCTTTGGCATACAAGCGCTTCCGCACCCCAACGCCGATGAAACACACCGAACAATATTGTGTAATATCGGACGAGGAAGAAGAAGAAGACCGCATTGAAAGTCCATCCAGCAGTCTGCCCGCTCAAGAAGGTAATGACATTGGAACCGTAACAAACCCACCCGCTCCCACACCTCAATTACCTTCAAACCCACCCGCTCCCACACCTCAATTACCTTCAAGTCCTTCAGTCGCCCACGCAGCCAAAACTTCCTCAAAAGTAAAAGGATGGCCCACATCACCTAGAATAATTACCATGGAATCGCTATTGCGATTCTTCACACTAACGCTAGAGCCTCTCGAACTCACAAATCAAGCTGCTTTCAAGCAGGTGTATGGAACTGACTATAAGTTCAAAAAGTCCACCGTCTCCAAATACCACCGGTGGATTGAGTCAATTACACCGAAGAGGTTCTCCGCTTTCATCAAAGAGAATGGAAAAAATTGTACCGTGACTGATGGTTTAGACTTCTTCAAAGCCGAATGGAAGGACATGGACAAATGAGTTCCAAACGCTTAAGGCCTTTAGCGTGTTTAACATAGCATAATTGTATGATTCATTGTTTCCACATTCAAACATTGCATTCTATGTATTCCTGCATTATATTTCATTCAACTCATGATCGCCATTATTATTGTTATTATATTTAATCGCACTCGCACCTTTCCTTATATTATACTTGATTTAGCTATTTTTCCATCTATTCATTACTTGATTTCTCAATAATTACATTGTCCTACCGCTGTACGCCCCTCATACATGAGTTACACCAACCAGTGTCAATCAAACATGAAACCCACATTTCCACATTTACCAGGTAACACATGCCCCGTTTAAGTAAAACCTACAATCCATTAGGAGAATGTCAGCGATTAAGCCAAAGACTTCATTGAGCACCTACTCAAATGGTTATGAAGTGGTAAAATAATCACTACGATCAACGATCAACCTAGATTATTGAGCACTTAACCAAAGCCTAGGTAAGACTCATATTTCCGCGGAGTTGACCAGACCATAGACATCAATACATGTAATTACGAAGCATCTCATCTCATCAATGCGACGTAGCGGAGTTATTATTGATCATAATGAGATCTCATCATAATTACCGCATACCTCTCTTCCACATATGTGGCCTATAATTTTTTAAGTAACTTTTTCTTATTATTTATATCTGTCCATTCACATTCGTCCACACGGCCTGTTGTATTTCACATTCTATCTACATTTCCTACTCTACCTTTTCTACCTGTACAGACATTACAAATCCCTATGTTATACTAAAAACCTTTTCATCTTCCTCTCCTTCCTTAATATCTACCCAATTCCATCTTTTGCCTGTTATTTTTCGCTTAGCCGTCCGATCTCACTAATCATCATGGTTACCGGAGTCGAAAGTGGTGCTGATGTCAAGGTTATGCAAGTAGAAGGCCCTGGTACTGTAGCCATTTCATTATGGGACTTGCCTTGCAGGCCGCCTACTGACCAAGTAAACATACTTTTAGAATTGATTGACACCACGGGAAGCGCTGCGACAAATGCCGTAGTGATATCATCCGACACCAATATGTCAGATGCACCAGGTCAGTTGAATGATAAACCCCACCCCAGTCTCAGGCTAGCTACTTACCAATAAATCATCCACAGGATCTGGACCAGTTTCTCCAACTCCATATGTCACTGCGCCGTACTATGTTGATATAGAAGATTTGAGTCGGAAACAATCAGGATGTCTATACCGATTACGGCGCAAGACGCTTCGACAAACAGTAACTTCTTACGATCAATTGGAGAACGTAACCCTCATTAAAGATGACGTAGTATACACTAGTGGTGAACTCGTTCTGCATGTTACCATCGAAGACGGTTGGACGATTCGCAAGATGTACCTCAATCACGACGAGGTTGGGGGCCTTTATCATCTTAAGTTTGACCCCTCATGGCTTGAATTGGATACAGAGGGACGGTATGAGTGTTTTGCGCGTGCTGAAAGCAACCGTTACGCTTCCTGGGCGATGAATCAATTTCAATACACACTCTCTCGCAAACGCAGGAACGGGAGAGGGCGCCTGGTTCCTAAATATCAACGATATTACTCCCTTTTGTTATCCATGGTGGTCAGATTTCTACATTTAATTCGTTGAAGTATGTATTCCACGGCAAACTGAATCTTTTTTAAGCAGGTTCAGCCCTGTCATGCAATGCAATCCACCGGTTCTGGATATGACGACGAACCACGTTGGATGATCTGTGAGCGCGTGACTGACCGCGGTCACGCGTATGTGCACGAGGGAAACTTCCACAATAAACCGACTGAGCGTCGACCTTGGACCTCCCTAATCCATGCGTACATTCACTATGTTTATGATCTAAGTGCAGACCAGACTTTAATCAGCAGGCTAGACTGCGACGATCACGGCAAGATCAGCAATTTGGTATGCTGGGACCGAAAGTAAGCGACATCCTATTTTCTCAAATCAAATGCTAGGTATTCAACTTGATTGACTATCAATTGCGATATGAACAGCCGTCCTCCTTACCACAGCCGTGATGTTGTGGAAATGCACGGCAGAGTCCAACGCGCTTTTCAGATGTTTGCTGAGCAACATGTGTGCAACAAGATATGCAGGCTTCTGGGTAACATACATATGTAGTTTATTGCAGGCCCTCGTATATTTTTCATTTACATCCATTTTTTTGTTTCCTTTGATATTTCCTTCCACTATTGACTTTCACATTTTGACGAAGAAGTCATTTCCATCATTTTATTGCTCAGCCTTGTTGATTGTTGATATTTATAATTATACATGTTTACCTGTTACCAGTTACGTATGGTACTGATTTGTTATACATTTGGTATTCATATTGCAACATCAGCCCTACTGCAAGTGGTTTGGGCGAATGAAATGCTTCAGATGAAGCAATCTAAAGGGGTGGCGGGCCACCCCCTTTGCTTGACAACAATGTGGATATATACTAAAAAATGTTTGAACACAGGCCTGATGCACAGGTTCAAGTGGTTAACCATGATTTGAGTACTATTTTTCAACTACCGAATACAAACATATGTCATCTCGAAAGATGATGATTATTATAATGTATGCCCCCGTATCATCCAATGATACGTTGTGATCATATTCAAAGCAATCACGTGTGATTAGGGTGATTCTTGCTGTGAAACATATCCACACGAATAGTCAATATAATATGAACACAGGTTATGTGGATTTAATTAGATAGCCGTATCAGTGATCACTTAAAAACATAGTGGATCTGTTCCAATAATGATAATTTATCATTACTGTATGGCTAAGCTATCAGGCATCTCATTTTCCGGAGACGTAGATCCATAATATTCTTGGCTATATAGGTGTTCAATAAATATACACAAATGCCTTGTTATTATTGGCTATATCGGTGTTCAATAAATTTACACGAATATCCAATTTATTTTGGACTCAAACTCAGAAGGATAAAGCCAATCATGTACAACAAAATATTGCCATTAGGTGGGTGAAGGAATGGCGTTGGCGTCAAGGCCTTTGGATCATCTATCAAGTATATGAGTCAAAGGCCTTCACATCCGCGCTTGTCCACCAATAGTGTGTTGAATTGGTGTGTGTGGTCAATCTTATGAATACGCTCAGTTTTTGGATAAACTGAGCATCATGAGATGAAACGACCTTTATTGATTTATATACCATTTTGTATCTTATAATTATCTATTGCATTTATCAAAAAGATAACAGATTGTTATTACCCCACCGCGAGTGTGGAAATCCGTTAGGATAAATAAAAATAAATGCAATGTATTTGCATTCACCATTAACAATCTTCAATGTAATAAATCATTGGGAATCAGGCGTATGTGATTGACACAATCCAAGTAATGTTCGTGTCCGGTTGTAAATCAGGCTCTCTATGGTTTATAAATACTCTGCTCATTTATACATGTACATGCCCAACACATATCTAATTATTTTGTTACGAACTAACGTGAGCGCTATTCAGGTTTACCATTATTACCTTACATTAACATTCCCATGAGGGTGACCCACAATAATTCCTGACGTTTCTTATGCTTATGCGGTATATAATAATATATTTCAGATCTAAAGACATTTCAGTAATAATGCCAGCACGCAACTTCGACAACAAAACTTCTTCTAGGCCTGTTTCATCACCAGCTACGACTCCTGAAGTGGTGATTCCCAACGTTGATTCAGCCGATGGATCAGTTGTTGTAGGTGAAGTAGGTGAAAACTCTGATTCACCTGTTCTGCGGGGCAAGGAGGAAGATTCGTCCAATCATGGAAGGCCAATTAGTGAAGACACGTCTACAACAGCCGTTCATTTCAGTACAAATTGTAACAATGAATCTTCCAGTGATAACCGGCCCATAGCTAAGGGGACGGTTGTTGCTTCTTACAACGTGAGGAGGGCACCCCGATTTGTGAGACGCACTCAGCCAAGTGAAAGCCAAGGTGAGTTGTTAATTTTTATTTATTTTTATTATCAAGTAATTTTGCAAAACCTTTTTGCCTACCTCCTTGCTGGTGTACGGAATGCAAGACGTTCCAAAGTGACAATGCGAAATTTCAAAAAACGAAAATCACAATCCCCGGGTGCGAAATTCAAAAATCAAAGACAAAACTACAGAAAATACTCAAATACAGGGATAAAACCCCTGTACTGGAGTAAAAGTCATGGCAAAAACCCCTTTTTGCCCAATTTTCCAGTGGTCGACACCGTTTTCATTGCATTGTCACCTTTTGACAAAAAGTACCAGCAACACCAAAAACCAAAAAATCAAAAAATCAAAAAATCAAAAATCAAAAACCAAAAACCAAAAACCATAAAATACATTTCTGAAACTGTAAAATTCAAACAACAATGTTAGATTCTACCACAGCCAAAAACCACATGTTTGCCAGCCAGCTACAAGCTTGGTCTCACAGGTATCAACACCTCCGACCGGAGACATTCTACCTTCTGTCTCAAGAGCTTCAAAGTACCTTCCCGTCTTGCTCTCCTCCAAAACCTCTTTCATCATCATCAATCTTCTTTGATTGTCCTTGATCTTCTTCAATCTTTGTCAACTGTCCTCGATCTTCTTCTTTCTTATTTGATTGTCCCCGATCTTCTTCAGTCTTCTTAAAATGTCCTTGATATTCTTCAATCTTTGTCATCCATCCTTGATCTTCTTCAATCTTCTTCTTTCTTCTTCGATTGTCCTCGATCTTCTTCAGTCTTCTTAGATTGTCCTTGATATTCTTCAATCTTTGTCATCCGTCCTTGATCTTCTTCTTTCTTCGTCAAATGTCCTCGATCTTCTTCTTTCTTCATCAACCGTCCTCAATCTTCTTTTTTCATAGTTTCCACTCATCAAACTGGACCAACTAAAGACAGGATTTTAATCTTCTAAAATCTTCTCCAAACCTCTTCAAATGTTTTCAACCGTCTTCAAATGTCTTCAACCTTCATCAATTGTCCTCAATCTTTGTCAATTGTCCTCAATCTTTGTCAATTGTCCTCAATCTTTGTCAATTGTCCTCAATCTTTGTCAATTGTCCTCAATCTTTGTCAATTGTCCTCAATCTTTGTCAATTGTCATCAATCTTCATCAACCATCGTCAATCATTGTCAATCTTCATCACTATTCTTTGATTGTCCTCCATCTTCATCACTATTCTTTGATCATCCTCAATCTTTTTCACTATTCTTCAACTGTCCTCAATCTTAATCAATACTAGCCAATTGGGCGGCGGGCGCCGCCATGTCAAGCTCTGAAAACAAAGTTGCTTTTAGCTGTTTCCAATCCGATCCAAGCGGACTGATGTGAGCAATAATGCATGATCCTTCAAAGCCAAGCATACCAACATCAGGGGTTTTATATTCCCAAAAGCCGTAGCACACTATTGAGCATGATCATGTTAATTTTGTCACTTGAAACATACTATTGAGCTTATGTGGTTTGAAGCCTTTGATCATCTTAAAATTTATATGGCAAAAATCAATTATCCCAAGAAAGCAACACATTATCCCAATTAGGACAGTGTTTAATCCTGGCAGTGAGAAGTTGTTGAAGGTGTCCTACCTTTGACAATTGTGATTAGGTTGATATGGTGATGTTGATGATATCACACCAATCAAAGCAGTGTTTATTTGAGATCAAACCAAGTGATGCACAAATCATGTATCCTGAGTTGAACAACCTATCATCGTATTTTTTGATATTATAAAAAGAAGGTAAACTAAAAAACCAAATCAGTTGCTTGAATTCTAAAGACAGGAAAAAGAGGGAAAAAACTCAACTGAATGCATTCATTTTCAATCCTTCTACTTGTAACCCGATCATTCCCAAACTTGTGATCCCTCAATGGTTTTAACTTAATTTTGATACGAAAACTTCTCCAATTCAATCAAACTTTCCCATAGATTCATCTTTGGGTTTACTTTTGAAATCAAAAACCTTTTCGAAATAGATGCCAAATTTAAGAACTTGGATGGTGATGATGATACTGTTGTTGTTGTTGGATTCAATTTTTTTCATTTGATTTCAATCTCTGCTCTGTTTTTTGGTTAATAGGCTTGGTTCAACTTCAGTTGGATGAGTCTGATTCCAAACTCCATTTGGATGAGTTTGATTCAAAACTCTGTCTAATTATTCTATTGCAATATCATGATCTTCTTCATCAATCACTTATCAATCATCAGTTTCAATTCCATCAAAAGATGAAATCTGCTCATGATGCTTAGGATCAAAATATGATAACAAAGGTGAAAGAGGCAAAGGAATCATGAGTGTCAATTTGGTTATGCTAGTATATGATGTATTGAAATTTCGAAGTGAATCATGTTTAAGTTGTCTAAGGAACCTTTCCTGATCCTCATCATCAAGTTCATACATTTCTGCAATTTGATTTCAATTTAAAGCACATTCTGATTCTGATTTTGATAGGCTTAACATTGGTTTACATTTACTTTAATCTTCTGATAATTTTCTTCAAGTGCTTTGAATGATAATTCTCCTCCGTTTTGTGTCTTACAGAGTGATGTAAATCCTAGTTTATCAGCTCAAAGGTTGATGATTGATCTAGTGCTGCTTGCGGTTGATTGGCTGGTCTTTCAATCATGAACGATTGTCTAAACTTCATCTTCATCCATGTCATCTTCATCTTTGTCTTCAATTCCATCATCGGATCCTCCTTTCCCTTCAAAATCTTCTTCTCCTTCATTTCCTTCTCTACTAACCTTTTAATTTTTTTCTTTTTCTTTTATGATCCTTCAGTTCCTTCTTCATACCTGGTACTAAAATATGTTGGAGAATACATTCTTCTGACACTGATAATGTATTCTCAATGTAGTGTTTTCAAAACCATTGATGAAGAGTGTATAACAAATCCTTCTGGACGGATTGGGTAAGGATGATAATTCAATTCTGGTAAAGAGAAATGTAGTGATTGAGTTTATAATTAGATATCATCAGAAGAAGTTCTACATTTGGATGTGATTAAGGGTTAGCTTGTTGATTGAAGTGTTTGACATTTCTGTCTGTGCTTTTCTATTTTATGTTTGTTTTCTCTCATAAACCTCTGTCTCTTTCCCTTCAGAATCTTTTTCCCTCATCGGGGAATAAGATTCTAAAGGTGAGATTCTAACAAACTAATCCTCAAAAATTAGCCATAGTGATCTTTACTAATATTCATTTCTTATATGTTTACTTTTATTTTATTTCATTTTATACTCTTTTTTCACTCTATCGCAGATTTATCTCTCTTTCATCATCTGCCCTTCCTGTGTTCAGGTTTGTCCGAGTTTAGAACTCGCTGTCCGTCCTAGCCGTGTCTCATCAGCACTTGGCTCACCCTTTGTCTTTGAACCTTCATAAAGGTTTTGTTAATTTTTCGTAGAGCTTAGTGTCTCCGACAGTCCTTGTTTTCTCACAAAATTTTCATGTGAGAAAATCTGATAACCAAATCAAATCAACCAAGTCAACTTTCTCTCTTTTCTTTCATATTATATATATACATACAAATTCTTCACATACCTGATCTACTTTCACATCTTTGATCCCAAATTCACCAAACTCCTCAAACCCAAAATGGTTTAGAGCCCGACAGCCCAGTTTTCCACTCGATCACTCGGTGATCGAGTGGAAAAGGCACTGCAGGCCTGTCAGCACTGTGACAGGCCTACAGTGCCTTCAAACCACTCGATCACCGAGTGATCGAGTGGTTTAGAGCCCAACAGGCCTGTTTTCCACTTGATCACTCGGTGATCGAGGGGAAAAGGCCCTGTAGGCCTGTCACAGTTTTGACAGGCCTACAGAGCCTCTAAACCACTCGATCACCGAGTGATCGAGTGGTTTAGAGCCCGACAGGCCAGTTTTCCACTCGATCACTCGGTGATCGAGTGGAAAAGGCACTGCAGGCCTGTCAGCACTGTGACAGGCCTACAGTGCCTTCAAACCACTCGATCACCGAGTGATCGAGTGGTTTAGAGCCCAACAGGCCAGTTTTCCACTCGATCACTTGGTGATCGAGTGGAAAAGGCCCTGTAGGCCTGTCACAGTTCTGACAGGCCTACAGAGCCCCTAAACCACTCGATCACCGAGTGATCGAGTGGTTTAGAGCCTGACAGGCCTGGTTTCCACTCGATCACTCGGTGATCGAGAGGAAAAGGGCCTGTAGGCCTGTCACAGGCCTGACAGGCCTACAGAGGCTCTAAACCACTCGATCACCGAGTGATCGAGTGGTTTAGAGGCTCTGGGCCTGTCAGGTGATCACTCCACCGCACGATCACTCGGTGATCGTGCGGTGGCTGGGTAGACCACCTAGCAGTTAGGTGGTCACTCCATCGCACAATCACTTGGTGATCGTGCGGTGGCTGGGTAGACCACCTAAGTCCTAGGTGGTCACTCCATCGCATGATCACTCGGTGATCGTGCGGTGGCTGGGTAGACCACCTAAATCCCAGGTGGTCTACCTTTCAAAGGTAGACCACCTAGCAGTTAGGTGGTCTAGTCAATGACTGGACCACCTGACTCCTAGGTGGTCTGACTTTGAAAGGTAGACCACCTAAGATTTAGGTGGTCACTCCATCGCACGATCACTCGATGATCGAGCATTGGCTGGGTAGACCACCTAGCAGTTAACTGGTCTAGTCAATGACTGGACCATCTAAATCCTAAGTGGTCTAACTTTGAAAGGTCACTCCATCACACGATCACTCGGTGATTGTGCAGTGGCTGACTAGACCACCTAATTCTAACTTTGAAAGGTAGACCATCTAGGATTTAGGTGGTCACTCCATCGCACGATCACTCGGTGATCGTGCGTTGGCTGGGTAGACCACCTAGCAGTTAGGTGGTCTAGTCAATGACTGGACCATCTAAATCCTAGGTGGTCTAACTTTGAAAGGTAGACCCCCTAGGCTTTAGGTGGTCACTCCATCGCACGATCACTCGGTGATCGTTGCTGTGGCTGGGCAGACCACCTAAATCCTAGGTGGTCTACCTTTTAGAGTCAGACCACCTAGGAGTTAGGTAGTCCAGTCGTTGACTAGACCACCTAAGGTCCCAGGTACTATACCTTTTAAATTTAGTGACTCAAACTTTAAAAGGTACAGTAACTGGGACCTTAACGGTCCAAGGTACTCGGAAACCACTTGATCACTGAGTGATTGAGTGGAAAATTGGGCTGTCAAGTTTGACCGCCTAAGCGCTAGGTGGTCAAACTTCAAAAGGAAGGCCACCTAGCAGCTAGGCGGCCAGGCCATCGCACGATCACTCAGTCATTGTGTGATGAAGCTACAGTCAGTCTGGGGCCGAGTCCAACATCTTTTTGGCCCCGGGCTCCATCGCACAATTACTGAGTGATGGTGCGATGGCCAGGCCACCTAACCGCTAGATGGCCTTACTTTTAATGTTTGACCACCTAGTCCTTAGGTGGCCTTGTCATCGCACAATCACTCAGTGATTGTGTCGCACGGTCTGACTGGTGCTATTCTTCCTAAAGCCTATATCTCCATGGCGAAGACTAGCACCACCAAGCTGACAGTTGTAGGGGAGGATGAAAATTGGATGGAACTTGAGTGAATGTTCTGTATAATCTATGTTTTTTTTTGCTGTGGTCACAAAAACATTTTATGTATGCAATGTCAACCATCATTGGGTCTTGAGTGATGACTCTTTTGGCCCATCAACATTTGTATGCACCATATGTTTAAATGTTAGATATTTAAACATATCAACTGTAATGTGTAAGGCTACATGTGCATACACAGTGTAATGGCTGACCACAACTCAGCCACCATTTGAGTGCAAGCATTTAACCAGTCCTGTGTTCTCTGAGTCTTCTGATATTATTATTGAAAGCCATTCTGTCCTCTTCCTTCAATTCTTTGAATCAACCAAGGTAATCTTTGATATTCCTTTGTCTTCCCATTACTTCCATACACTTCAGGGAGATGAAGACGGAACATATAAGAACCATGAAGAATCCACAAGAAGCTGATACTAATTGATTCAAGATTGATACATGAAACCTCAAACTAATCAAAATTTATCAAGCATTTTCATTAACCGCAAAAGAAGACTCATATAATTCAAAAGATTTACAGCTCAAGGTTATTCACATTGACTCATGGAAGACGGGGGTACTTGAGATACATGCAGAGATGTTTATGTCTTGTGAAGGGCAGGGCAAGTGACCGAGGGGACCCCCAACTACCAGCCTAACCCTTTGTTAAATGTATCTTGGTGCTTCCTGATTTCAATCCTCAAGAAATTACTTTATCAATCATCCCTTCAAACAATTATTCATTAATGCAAATTCACTTATATCAAAAGATTTACAGCTCAAGGCTATTCACATTGACTCATGGAAGACGGAAGTACTTGAGATACATGCAGAGATGTTTATGTCTTGTGAAGGGCAGGGCAAGTGACCGAGGGGACCCCCAACTACCAGCCTAACCCTTTGCTAAATGTATCTTGGTGCTTCCTGATTTCAATCCTCAAGAAATTACTTTATCAATCATTTCTTCAAACAATTATTCATAAATTTATATATTCATGTCATTCATACTCACTCATTCAATCCATCAAATATTCAATCACTCATTGTTTATTCACTTTATTCATTATTTCATTGCATCCCCACACAAATTAAGAAATCTTGATTTTTTGATGAGCATTCCACTAATCAAAACAATGTTTTTTTTACGTAGATGCCAAAACCAGTATCAGACCTCAGAAAGAAAAAGCTTGCGGAGTACCAAAAGAGGAAGAAGGCTCAACAACACAATGACAAACAGGATCCAGTCCGGGATGTTCAAAGAGAATGTGTCAGTCAAAGAATTAAAGCAGGAATCAAAGACCGGTTTGGCTTGCCAGAGGACTGTGATGTTTTCCAAGTTCCTCAATTTGGGGACAGGAAAGAGCAAGTAGTTACCTATGAAACTGTTCTACTTGAAAATCTGGCTGGAAATAAGCTTATATGTGTTTCTGTTGGAGAATAAATTCTCGAGTTAAGTGTGTCAAAACCATTAAGGAGTTATGTAACACTTCTTCTCAACTTCTGGACAAATTGGGCATAGGTGGATACAAATCAATTAGACTGAGGCTGATATCGTGATAGGATTTAGGAAGAGTATTGGAATGTTCTTACCGCATTGGGATAGGAAAGGGACTAGTTTGTTATTGTAAATGTTTGACCTGTTTTGAATGTGTGACTGTGCCTTTCTGTGTTTTCTCT